CGGAAAGAGAAGATGCTGTTCTTGTATTTTCAGAATAATTCTTTGTTTCTTCTAGAGAATAGTGTTAGCCGTAATAATAGATGACATGACTTCCGTTTTGTGCAAAAGAAAGAATTAGAACAAAAATTAACTGCCGTTTGCCTGGGTTTCCATTTCTCTTTTTCGATATATGAATTATTTTTTCTCATTGGCGTATGCTTTTCAGAGTATTCATTAAATATATTCATGCAGTTTTCTATGCCACATATATACATTCATTATAACTCATATTCATGCAAACGTCATTATGTTAATCTTGTACCAACGGATACTTTCGAACACGGAACCGTTGACAGGAGAACTTTTAGGATATATTAATATCACATTATACTACTTTACAAGCTATAAATACCTCTTATTATATAATATATCATGCCTTAATAATTAAAGTATTCGTATCTATAGAAATAACATCCAAAATCCATAAAAACCTCCCTCAGTGAACGTAATTAATCGAAAATCTAAAACTTAAAGGAACGCCACAAATCCGCATTCGCACTAGAAGAACGAAAACAAAGGCGCGTCGCAGCGGGGGTTGGGCGAGGTGACATCATCGCCCAACCTGTGGCATGATTCACCAAAGAGAAATTCCCAGCCTCGACACACGTTTTAGCACGAGTCTCCACCGGCACCGGCTCGCCACAACGCCACTGGTGCCTTCCCGAGATGCCGTTCTACGCTGTTGCCAGGGGACACAGCCCGGGAGTGTACACTTCATGGTGAGAACTGCGATTTTGGGTAGATTTTCGGGAGGGGTGTTTTATGCGGGTGAGAATGGCGGTGGAGGCTGGGGTTCGTTGCGAAGGCGGAAGTTGGGGTTCCGGCTCTGCCCTTCAGCATATGTTGACGTGGCACTGGAAGAGGGTGAATTCAGTGGCTCTGGCGTGGCTCTTTTGGCACCCAGGCCGAGCTAATTGCCTCCCGTGGAATGGCAATGTCGGAAATGGGATTGTATTTACGACCAATCATCATGCCATAGGTGCAGTGACAGGCACGGACGCCATGTGAAAGTTGAAGCTGACAGCTCAGAGAGTCATTTGGTCGAGTTATTTTAATTGTCAGAATGTTGTCTTTGACATGTAGTTAGGTGAAATTAGAAGTGGTTGCTAGGCTGATAACAATGTCACTTCATACTTACTTTTATTGCTCCTTGTGAGATGATTAGGCGGCTTTGCTAGAGGTAAATGGAAAAAAATTAAGATTTAAGTCATATGTTGCCATGGATAGATCTAGCCTTTCAAATCCATGACAGTCATCCAAAGTCACACTGTGGTAAATGTTCAACGTGTAGTAGTCGTGATCAGCTGCTCAAAGGTATTCCGAATAAATGCTTGATAATTTTTGCCGCTAAAGCAAAATCTTTATTATAATCCATACTACTGGTGGAATATGACCATATCGGAAATCTCTCGGTTTCACTGACTTAGGTGACCATCCTGTCATATGGTCCGGGAGTCCGCTATATGTAGTGGAACTTTCTGCTTGACTCGCTCTAGCGCATCACGACGCCTAAAGACTTACCTGGCATGATGAGTTGGTTAATTATGACAAAACTGTAAGCATGGCCTGGCAGATATAGGTTAAACAGCAAGACATAAATCTGTTATAGATCAGCTTACTGCAACTACTCATTTTTCCATTTCAATTATATATTGGTATTTGTTCTGCCATTAATGTCAAGTGCAGACCTTCCCCTTTGAAACTAGTCTAAATTTATATTTCTGACACTAATAGTATATTTACCACAAACAATGAAAAAAAATTATCACAAAACATCCATGCAATCAGTAAATGAAATACAGATACGCTGAAAATTATGGAAGGAGGACTTTATGCAAAATTACTAATAAAAGAATATAAAAAAGTCAAGGACAGGTTTTGCTTAAACCTTATTATGGTTGTAATAATCAAAGAAAGTTTCATGTTTTGTGGCAGAGAAAGTATCTAGAAGAGTTAACTATTACCATATGGACCCTTAAGTTGCTAAGTTTGTGTGAATAGATAAAAAAAATAATAATTAAGTTATCAGGAACCAGTAGTTACATTAGAATTGGTTGAGTAACCATGTGTGAGCGGTCAGTTTCAGGGGAGTGGCCAGGGGTGGTATGTGCCACCTATGGAATCTGACTGACCACTTATCACCACATTGCCTTTAATTTTTGGCACTATAAAAGTAAAGAATGGTAAATTAATATTATTCTGATGTGTGTGCATGCTGGTATGCATACACTTCTATTTCATACTGCCCAATAAATAAAAGAAAATAATAATCCCTAAACCAACCACAGATATTAATTATATTGAAAACCCAGTAGCTTCTTGTTTCTTGATTTTAGTCTTCTTTGTATAGTCATTACAATAATATGCCTGAGCACTTCTCCATATTAATGTATACTACTTTTACTGTTAGTCCCATTCATTCAATGTCGCCAGGAAAATGCTGTGCTCATTTATTTTTTGT